TTTTCCATGGACGTTGACGCCAGCAATTAACTCGAGATTCACTTCTAGTAATATTATAAACTGTACTTAACATTGTTACTGGTCCATTGTCAATCCAAAGAACTGCAACCCCTAATTTAACTACTCCATTCCCACTTACAACATATATACATACTCTCTAACCCTAACTACTAATTAAAACTTAAACATTTATTGTAAAACGCACTTATGGTAGCTTTATACCTATCATGTATTTTTTATTATGTTTTATAAACTTTTATAAATTTTGTATATAAGATTTTACCGCAAAAAATTTCACGTTAGAGTTAGTATTTAGGTTAGAATTAGGGTTTGGAAAGGGTTTTGTGGGGCGTAAAACATTGATTAATTAGCCAGTTTTTGAGATAATTTATTTATAGGTGTAAAACCCATAGGTGCATTTTAATAAAGTCAATATAAAAAACTTTTGTTAATATAACCAATTAAAATAAGCAATTAAATCTCATAAGTACTGTACTTATTTAATTTCTATATGTGACAATTTAGTGCGTGATTTAAAGAACATTTATTTATTCAAGCATATAAAATAAACTGATATTATGAATACTTACTATTTAAGTAATTCCATTTTAGTCGCATTGATTTATTACGTATATAAGTACGTACGTATAATAAAAAATATTTGTTAATTCAAGTACAGTATTAATATTTTTTTTACAATTTTTTGCTTTATTTTAGAAATTTTCGATTTTGTTAAAAATAATAATTATAATGACTACAATAAAAATAAAGAGAACGAAAGAATGGCAGATGATTGTTGTTAAGAATATCTAGTTTATGTTTAATATTTATGAATAATTAAATTTGGATTAAAACTATAAATCGCACGTAAGGACGATTTCACCAGGTACTGTCGAAAATTCACCTTTCCCAATAGTTTTAATATTGTCAAATTCATTATACCCAAGACAATGAACATTTAATAATTCATTTAAATTATAATATATTATAATTTTTAGAAATTTTGAATAGATAGAACACTATATAATATATAAATTTTTTTTTAGTGAATTAGGAATTTGATAAAAAATATGTATATCCTACAATTGAATATGAATAGTACTAAAGCACACCAGTGTGCTTGACATTATACGTGTTTTATAATAATTTTACAGATAAAAGTTATAATTAGGGTTTTAAATTATGGCAAAGTTAAGAATTAGAGTGCTAAACATTTTTACTTAGAGCACTAGGCATCAATTACTTAGATTTTGAAAAATAACAATTGCGATGTTGAACGTCACTGGCGTGTTTTAGTAAATATGCAAATATGTGTGATAATTAATAAAAATGCATAAAATTGAGTAAATAAATTACAGGTTTTTGTTTTCTTTTTTGTTTTTTGAACGTGATAAAAATTATTAAATTACTGATCATCGTCTATAAGTTGATAAATAGAATTCAAAGATTAATATGGTTTTTTATTACAGTTATTAATTGCAGTTATTAATTACATACCAAAGGATTTATCTTCAGGAATAAAAAGATTTATTTGTTTCGAATCTAAATGAAGGAAGTATTTATTAATAAATGTATAACCAATCTTTAACAAATAAATATATATATAAACATAATTTACCAGACGTTGATTGATTTATTATCGAATTTAACGGTTTCGAAAGATTTCTAAAACTGAGAAGTCTACTGGTGTATATAGCTCCAGAATGAGCCTGTGAAATTTCTGGTAAAGCTGGAATTATTTCATCAGCAGCTTCAAATTTTTTTCTGATTTCAAGAGCTGTTTTATTTTCTGCATCATCATAATCGAAATGAAATGAATCACACCATTTATTTAACTTTTCACTACATTCTTTTGCGGTTGGCCTTTTGGATGGGTCAGCATCCATACATTCTTTTGCTAATTGAATATATATATCGGGAGTTCCATTAGCAAATTCAGGACGGAATCCATTAGCAATACGAACTGCAAGCTTTGTATCATGTGAAACATCTCCATAAGGGGGGTTTCCACTCGAAACTTCAGCCATGATAACTCCAAAGCTATAAATATCTGCAGCTTTTGTATACGGTTGTTTCATCAAAAAAACTTCGGGTGCAACATAAGGTAATACACCATATACACCCTCTTCTTTAGACGATTCACCAGCTGGTTGAGCTAATCCTAGATCAGAAATACAGGAATAAATGCCACCATCATATAGTAAAATATTACCGGTGTGAAGATCTCGATGTGTGTATCCTCCTTGATGAATTCCATATAATTCGTGAGCTATTTTCCATAAGATAAATAATTTATTAGCCCATTTGATGTTTTTAAAATTTTTTGAAAGGTATTTTCGAAGATCTTTGTTTTCTGCAAATTTTAAGACCATCATATAATCTCCTGTTTCTGGATTTTGAGTCAATCCATATAATTTAATGGTTGAATGTTTATGATGGATTTTAACCTAAATTAAAATTGTAATTTTCGTAAATATTATTTGGTCGAAAATATATCAGATATAGTATACTGAAAACAAACAATAATATATAGGCTTACCTCTTGTAAAAAATCGTTCGATATATCCTGTGAGTTTGACAGATTTTTAAGGGCAACTTTTAATGGTGGACTACGTTCATTTGCTCCTGATCCTCTTTTCCCATCTAGCCAAATAGCTGAATATACTGTGCTGAATCCTCCCTGCCCGATAATTTCTTGATTTTCAAATCTATCAAACGGAATCCATTCAATCATATGTTCATATCTAGTTGTTGATTGTAGTACACTTTTAAAGAAGTCGTCAATTGCTTGATTCCCTGTACAAACCGAACTTTGGGGATCGCATGGTCGACACCATCCAACATGAGTGTTATAATTTTCGCATTTCGCGCACTTTCCGTACATTTTTAAAATTTTTTCTCTCATCTGGAATTTGCATGCTCTTTAAGTTTAAAAACAAAAAAAGAAAAGGATGAACAAAGTTTTAAGGCCCTGAATAATGTTTTTGACCGAATCACGGGGCTCTAACGTTAGCTATTGTTTTAAATTATAACGATAATATTAACATTAATTGTACAAATTACCCCTGAAATTAATATATCGATATGTATTACAGATGTCCAGTTAACTAAATTTGGGAATTGTCAATCCACATGGATCGGAACCTTTGTTTAAATGACAATAACTTCACTTATTGACCATATCGAGATTTGTTTCATGCAGATAAGTTTCTCCATATCGAGGTTAAATGGACAGTTTAATGAAACTTTGACAAAGGTGGTTTTCCTGTATCGCGGTTAAATGGACAATTAAAAAATAAACATTAAGCGCCTTTTAAATTACTATGTAAACAAAAAAATTTTTTTTTTATTGTCTTCGTTCCATTGCGATAAAAATACTCTAACATGTTTAATTCACACATAAGTTTCCTATGTATTACGTAGAAAAATTGAACGCTATTCTTAGTAATATTATAGATATCTTTAGCTTTATTAGATGTATGGTTACGTTTATAAAGTTCGCAAATATGTTTGGTCAAAAGTTATCTCATTAAAAGATTTTATATGTAGTGAGTTAAATTTCTTAATCCTTTAATAAGCTCTAATTACATCAATAAATCAGCATTAGACTTTTGATATACTTGCTTAGTAATAAAATAAAGCTCTGAATTTATAATGATATATGCAACTATAATATAGCTTTAATAAATAAACTCAGATACGTAATATAAATTGTGCGTAAATAAAATAATACATAATTTAGATAACAAAATATATAATAGTAAAAATAGTAAAATCTGCTTACGTTGCTAAATAATGATATATATTCAATTTTGCTATTAAATAAAAATATTTTTTTTAAAAAAATAAACTAAATCAAAGTTTTTTAAAGTAATTTTAACTTTTTGTAATTTTAACTTGTATTTCATTCAATAATTCGAAAATAAATTCATACGCTTTATCGTAAATTCCTTTAGCATTGCTTTCTCGCGGACCACCCACATTTAAATGATTTATTTTACGAAATTCATGATTGATTTGACGTGGTTCATTTAACCAATTAAGGACTTGATTGATGTTTTCTTGATGATTTTCATTAAAGTAGATTATTTTATAAGGTTTTTCAAATTCTTTAGCTTTTTCTATTGTGTATTTTGTTCCTTTATCAATTTCATCTTTTGTTAAAAGTAAGATTAATGTGGCATCTGAATCTCTAATATTTAATTCAGTTCTTTCAGAATATTCTACTGTTTCAGTTTCTTTAAGAGGATGTTCTAATGGAATTTGTCCATCTTCTGCTCTTCTGCCTTTTGGACACCATCCAGTAATGTTAATAATTTTTTTATGTGTATTTGTTTTATTGAAATCTCTGGCAGCATCTAATGTAGCTCTATCTACACCAGTCTGCCCACCAGATCTAATAGTAAAATTAAAACTTTGTTGTGTCATTACAAAATTTATTTAAATTTTGCAAACTTTGTTTATTAATTATAAAAAAAACATAGAAATTTTTTTTTTTTAAAAAAAAATTGATCATTAAAATTAAAAAAAATTAAAAAAATTTTTTTACGGAAAAAAAATTTGGTAACAATGCATATATGGAAATAATTTGGGGTGTAATTACAATAACTTATTTTAAGAAAAACAAAAAAAATACTCTGTAATGATTACTTATATATTAATTTTGTATGCACAAATTTTAAACTTCAAACTCCGGCACGTTGAAATAGTACTAGACAAGATTAAATTACAAGTCTTTGTTTATAAATATGTCTTGTTAGTGAAACTGATGATCAAATATTAAATCACCATATCATGACGATTTTGTGTATTTGGCGTTTAAATTTACATTTATAATAATAGATTGTTACACTTCGTTTTGTTTCAAATTTAAAGTTAAACCGTTGATTATAAGATTATAAGATAAACAATAATAAAAAATGAGTCGTACATCTATATAAATCATCACAATTAAAATTCATATAATCCCTTTAACAATATGTACGAATCTTCTGAAACATATTTGCATCATCTGCGTTTTTGAAATGCGATTTAAAAATATGAAAAATCATACGCACCTTCCTTTTTAAGCATATTAAAATTCTTGCAATAAATTAGTTTAATTAACGTAAAGAAATTCAATCCGAGCCCAAGGAACCATATTATTTCTAATAAAGTTTCTGATCGACGATCCCATTACTATTCAGCCTCTTGCATAGCCTGACCAAAAAAAAAGGTCTAGAGTCGGGTATATCCACGTGAATTTAAACCAATAAGGATACAATACATGTAACCAATCAAGTCCTAAAAAGTATCATGCGATTACATTTTTGCTTTAAACGTTTCTCCAAAAAGAAAATATCTACTTAATACCTGCACAGTGCATATATGAGTAACGCCAAGGGAAAACCAGACTTCGATCATATGACGAAATCTGGTTTTCCTTTTGTATCACCATATTAAATTGAAACCTAAAATCTGACTGGTATAAAAGGCTAATACGTATAGCGTATATGCAAAGTTAAAGTTTAATTCTGACATTCTAAGATGTAATAATGTTAAGTGGTTTGGCCGAAACTAGTTTAATCTACTTGAAACCCTGATTCTTATCGTTATAATTCAAAACAAATTGGTCGAATTAGCGAGTTTTTCACGTACGTACGTAACTAGGTCGATTTCTCACATGATTGAATTTGTTTTAAAGATCATTTGGGTGAGTGCTCAGAAAAACCATTCCTAGAGTAGAGTATATATATGGTACTCCAAATATGGTTTTGGCGTGCATTTACACATTACCGTTACCATGCATTTGTAAATCGGTACGTGCATATAAAGGATATACTGTAAGAACTTAGATAAGTACAGTACGTAGGCTTAATTCGTTCATAAAAACAAAATAAAACTATATTTACCACTTCCATCCTATAATCGTCACCAAAATTTACCTTAAAAATAAAATCATCTTAAATTGTAATATAAACACCTAATCCTTTATTTTAGAAAACAGTCGTTGACGAGATTCTTGTTTTATGATCCGTCTTATTAGATCCATTAAACTAAAAAATAACAGTAATATCAATGATAGGTGAGATTACAAGTTATAACTTGGCATAGTTATTCTGCAGTGTAAAAAGTTCAATTCGAGAAAAATTGTAAAAATATTTTATTGAAAAAAAATAAACTAAAAATCCTAAATTTTGAATATAGTAAATTTCAAGGTTAGTAGAAATCGTTAAACTTGATAATTTGCTTTTTAAATGTGCAAAGGATGTTCTGGTTTAATAGTTTATCAGTTTCTGTTCCATCCAAAGATTGGAACCGTTTGGCCACCTAAAAATCATTCCACCGTTCTGGGCTGAATAATGCTGTTTATGAGCTAGAATTATTTAATGCTGACTAAATTAAACGTAACGGTTAACCGATTAGAATTTCCATCATTTATGATTCAGCCAATTCAATGTAACATTCTGAGGTCATTAAACTCAAACATTCACCCTGGCATAATTTAATGAAAGACCAATATCTTTTTCAAACCTCTATCTTTCTTTGTCTTAATAACGACGGACTATTGATATCAGCTGCTTGTGTAAATTTTTTTTTTGATAAACACATGGAGTAACGTATGGCATAATTCCGATTTGATTCACTTGTTTTATACCAATTGATGCAGAAAGGTCTACATTATGTTTTTCAAATTTACATTACAACAATATCATAAGCTTGTTTAATTATATTTGAAATTGTGTTTCTAAACCAACAATTAACTTCCTTCCTATTCTTATTCTGTTTCTGTAACGGTGATCAAATAATACGAAATTCCTTACTTTCTCCAAAACCAGCGGCTTTTTGATAATAAATACACATGTTCATTCTTTTCAGCAGCAATTCTATCTAGATAAAGTTACCATCATGATTTGTTCCATGAACATTTATAATCTCTGCTGATTTTTAATGATAAAAGAATGATTTGTGTTTATTTTCTTCGACTCAAATTTGTTCATTTTTTTTTTAATTCGCATTTTTTTTTTATATACTATAAAATCGCTATAATAGAACACATAAAATTATATTTATACATGATAAATACAATAAAGCATGATTCTAATGTATAAATGCTTTGTTTCAAATAGGGATGTTATCCTGCTCCAACTGGTTAGTTTGTGCTTAAAAACTCGTTGGAACACTGTTTCAAAACATATACGTAAAACCGGTTTTCGAACTCAGTTCATACAAATGTATTAACGTTAATCAAGTTAGTAAAACCTACTATCACTATTACTATTTATTAAAGCAAATACCGAAGTTTACATTAAATTTTTGCATTATAATGTTTATTGTATCTATCGCTATTATTTATTTATTGACCTACGCAATTAATATACCTAATTTATTAACCTTCATAACAATCAATAATAGCTGATTAATTCCATGTCTTTATGCAGAGGCTTGCGGAAGAATTCTCTCCAGATAATCTATTACGCATTGGATTAATTGTATTTTTTGCATTACTTCGCTCGGTACGCAGTTCCAGTAAATTAATTTTTAATTAAAATTTGAAAAAAAGTCAAAGAAACTAAAAGTCTAAAGTTACGTAATTACAAATCAAGTATTTTGCTCATTCATTTCTCGATTTCAAACTCGTTTTGAGCATGAGGAGTTTAAATATGATAATGAAAATCACGTGTCTGCAAAAACTCGAGTTCCATTGGGTTCGGGCGTCGAACCGAGTTCGGGTATGCAGGGCTCCCAAAACCGATTCGGTCAAAACTAATACTGTAATAAGCCTGTTTCTGTTATATAAATCTAATACAGTTGAAATTCCCAAAACCTATACAGGTTTTTACAAATTCGACAAGGTATCAGATTTGAGTACTAATCAATTTTAAAACCATTTAATAAGGCCTTGGGTACTATACGCAGCGCTAAACAGCATAGCGGGCTTTTATTGTGATTGGCTGATTTTTGAAGATCATCTTATCATAATAAAGTCTTATTAAAGTAACGATTTTCTGTCACAAGATTGAATTCCGAGCCACGAATACGAATTCC